CATTTGCTGGTTTCTCCGTGCTACACCCAAACGAAATGCGATAAAACATGCCTACGTGCACAAGCATACATACCTCTGTACTATGACATACATGCGCATATGTAGAGTAGAATAATGGAACTTGGTATGATTGGCAATGACATTCCATGATACGGAACAGCACGATGCCATGGCTTACACATTTGCATATATACCTGACTGCAATGGCATTAATACTTGTATAACCGAAGGGCATGACATGACACATGATGCAGGACATAGAACGATGATTCTTAAGATGGACGGACACAAACACACACACACAGACACACAGACACACAGACACACACACACACACACACACACACACACACACACACACACACCCACCCACCCACCCACCCACCCACCACACGCACGCACGCACACACACACACACACACGCACCACACGCACGCACGCACGCACGCACGCACGCACGCACGCACGCACGCACGCACGCACGCACGCACACGCACGCACACACACACACACACACACACACACACACACACACACACACACACACACACACACACACACACACACACACACACACACACACACACACACACACACACACACACACACACACACACACAGCACACACGCACACACGCACACACATACACACGCACACACGCACACACGCACACACGCACACACGCACACACACACACGCACACACGCACACGCACACACGCACACACGCACACACGCACACACACACACATACACACATATGACACCTACACACATACACACACACGCACACACGCACACAGCACGTACCTGCACACACGCACACACACACACGCACACACGCCTTTTTTCTGTTCCACACGCACACTGTTACCACACGCACACGCACACACACACACGCACACACGCACACACGCACACACGCACACACGCACACACCTGTGTACACACACACACGCACACCTACACACACGCACACACGCACACACGCACACACACACACACACGCACACACGCACACCTGCGCTTGCCTTGTGCCTTGCATAGCGACAACGTGCGTACCTGTACCTGCAGCCTGCCTTACCTGCCTTACTACCTGTATGCCCTAACATTACCATAGCACCTGCCTTTTACCTACGTTGTACCACCTACCACCATAACGCATAGCTTGTACCTTTGTGTAACACCTGCTTCATAAGTGACGTGTGGCCCACCACGTACCTACTTGGCCATAACGATAGCGTGCTGTAGCAACGTACCATATGTGTCAGTGTGCCTTGTGCTTGTATGATCTTGTGCCTTCTTATGCTGTGTACCTTGTACTTGTGCCTTCTGTGCAACATGCTGTGTCTTGCCTTCTGTATGTATATCTTGCATGGCACTTGTGTATATTTGTTGCGATACGTGTATGTATGTATGTTGTAGCCTTATGTAGCAGCATAGCTATATGTGACTTGACATGTATGTAATACTTGTATGTATGTTGCTGTATAAACATATATGTATACTTGTATATGTATGTACATGTATACTTGTACTTGTACTGTGGCTCTTCGCTTGTATGTATATATGCATTTTATGTATACTTATGTGCCAACGCTCTTCCATGCTTGTGCCTTGTATGTATGTATGTACGCCTTGACAGCAGCATTGGCGCGTGACAGCCGCGCTGTGTATGCATGTACGCGCGGCGCCTTTGTATATGTGGCCTATACTTCTGTATATATATGTGCCACTTATACATGCGACTGCGCATATGCCTTATGATATATGTATTAACGCGCGCGTATATATATATGCCTATATGCGCGGCGGCATGTATACGCGATATATGCGCGCGCGCAGCGGCGCGCGGCGTATGCGCGATGTATATATATATATATCGCGATATCGCGCTTATATGTATACGATAACCTGCGGTAGCCTGTTCAGCCTAACCCCTGCGCTATATAGACCATCGACATCGTCTGGCGTTTCTGTACGTGATGTATTTATATACGCGCGCGCCGACGCGTGCCGCGCCTGATACGCGCGCGCATGACGCGCGCACTGGTTTACGATGAATATCACCATCACGCTGAATACCGCAACGCGCATCAATCCCACTCCTTTACCTCCACCTCCTTTCCACCTGCCACCTCCCACCTCCCCCACCCCACTCCCACCTCACCCCCTCCCACACCTCCACCCCACCTCCACCTCCACTCCCACCACACTCCCCCACCTCCACCCTCCACCACCTCCCACACCTCCTCACACACGCAACACCACCACGCACACCTCCTCCACCTCCACACACCTCACCACACTCCACCTCCTACATAACACACCAACACACACACCTCCACACACACACACACACACACTCACACACACACACACCCACACACACACAGCAAACACTCACACACTACACTAAACACACTCACACACTCACACACTCCCCACACACTCCTCCCCCACCCTCCACACCCTCCGCCTCCCACCACTCCCCACCTCCACACCACCTCCTACACTCCTACCTCCCCCACACCCACCCCCACCTCCCACATTCTCCTCTCTCACCTCCCACCACACTCCACCTCTCCTGCTCTCCTGCTCTCACCACTCTCCACCTCCTCTCACCTCCCCTCCCACCTCTCCACCTCCTCCACCTCTCCCTCTCTCCTCTCACACACTCTCCACTCTCCTATACTCCTCCTCACCCCTCTCCACACTCTCCTCTCCACTCTCACACTCTCCTGCTCCACCTCTCCGCCTCCCTCCACTCTCACCCCACATCTCCCACCTCTGACACTCCTCCCCCACCCACTCACACACTCCTACACCTCCCACCTCACACCCTCCCTCCCCCACTCCCCCACCTCCCCACCTCCCTACCTCCCCCACACACTCCCTACTCACCACACTCCACACTCCCCACACTCCCCTCAAACCACTCCCCACCTCCACCCACTCACCCCTCACACCCTCACACCCTCCACACCCTCCTCCCTCCTCCACCTCTCCCACCTCCCACACACTCCTGCCCTCCTCACCTCCACTCTCACCACCACTCTCACTGCTCTCACTGCCTCTCCTCTCCTCTCTTACTCTCACCTCTCCTCTCCTGCTCTCACCTCTCCTGCTCCTCACCCACCACCTCCTCCTGTTTTTCCCCTTCCTCTCCACACACTGCACTCCTCACTCTCCTCTCACCTCACACTCTCACCTCTCACCTCTCTGCTCTCCTCCACTCACACTCACCTGCCAGCCCTTGCTCACTCACATCACCTCCGCCTCCTCACACCTCCTCACTCCTGCACACTCCACCTCCCACACACTCCCACACCTCCCACACACTCCACACACTCCACACCACACACACACACACCCACACCCACACGCACACGCACACGCACACGCACACGCACACGCACACGCACACGCGCACGCGCACGCGCACGCGCACGCACGCGCACACGCACACGCACACGCACACGCACACGCACACGCACACGCACACGCACACGCACACGCGCACACACACACACACACTCTCACACACTCTCACACATTCACACATTCACATTCACACATTCACACATTTACACATTTACACATCCACACATTCACACATTCACACATTCACACATTCACACATTCACACATTCACACATTCACACATTCACACATTCACACATTCACACATTCACGCATACACATGCACACTTATGTACACATGCATATATGCGTGTATATATATAGACATATATATATATACATACACCAAGGTCTCGCCGTTCGTTTCGCCTTCCTTTCAGCGCATTTATTTGGGGGTAAACGAGAGGATATCTCTTCTCGCGCCACTCGCCGACTCACGGGCCAAACCCGCCGGTCACTGAGGTCACACGCCTGCCGCTGCTGCTGGCCCAGGCCGAAATTGGGGATTTGTTCTTAAAGTAGGCCGAAGCAACGGGCAACGAGCCCCTTTTCGGATTTGCTTTGTTTGTGCCTCTTTTTCAGGTTCTTCGTTTTGTTTTGTTTTTAGGCCGCCCTTGATTTTTTTTACTGCGCATCGGACGTTCCTTCTCTGGCCCAGGCTTTGGGTGACTCCTTCCCGGCGGACGCCGCCCAGACGGTGCTGAGTTTGAGCAGCGGAGCCTCTGAGGCCCAAAGTGCGGCTGCCAAAGTGCCGCCCCTTGCTGGCCAGCTGTGTTGATCCTGCCAGATGGCTCGTGGTTTCCCTTGTATTCGTCCCACGGTTTACGGATCAGGATTAGGAATCTCGCTTTGAACATTGATGGGTGATTTCCTTTGAAGTTGGTTTCCAGATGGGTTTGGAGAGCAAAAGGAGTGGCTCGAATACTTCTGAAGAATCTCTAAGAACGGGAGCCGGCATTCCGGGTTCAAGCAACTGTGCTGACGGCATTCGACGCGGCCGTACATCTATGCCAGCACAGGCCGACTTTTTTGCCAAAGGATTTCAACGCGCATGGCACAGTTGTTCACCTGAGCGATCTATGAATGGCAGCAAGTCCAGATGGACGATTCTTTTACCATGGACTCACTGAGGTAGCAAAAAGGATTTCCGCTACCCTTAGACACATTCAGGGTTGAGGAGTGGCAACTGACATGCGGCTCATAAATCACATTGTGTTGCTTTAGAATAATTTTGTTTTAACGCAACCAGAGCTCGATCCACCGCGCAGGCCTAGCAAAATGATGTTTGCGATTGGCCTACCATGTTTGAAGATAATTTCACCAGAGCCACGGGGAAAAAGCTTTCTTCCTGAAGTTGGGCGCGAAATGCCGCACCTGCAAATGCTCGCAAGTGCTGCAGTAATTGCCCTTATACAGCGGTTATCTAGCACTTTCCACCGCCAGGGTAGTGGTTGAACACCCAGTTGGCCGAACCACTCACCAATTGACCTTTTCGCATATCAATCAACACCTTGTCTCGCAAGCCATTCCAAGTCAAGGCCTCCCCCATTATCCAAGAAGGCAACAGCCAAACCTCTAAGGAGTTGGCCAAGTGCCCTTCAAATTCCGTTTACCGCATGATGACACAGTGCCTCTTTGCAGACATTTGCCTAAGTGGATTGTTTTAGGGTTTGAAGCTGAACAATGACTTTTACTGAGGCTTCTGGGCAAGAACCACTTTAGGGATTTTTTGGTGGGGAGGGGGGGGTTGGAAGCGGTTTGAAGCTGCAGAACGACGGGTCAAGCTGCCCCTCCTCCCACCTCCTGTCGAGGGCTCGAGAAACCCGGTCCGAGGCTGGACCCGCTGCTGCTGAGCGGCAGCCTGGCGCTCACAGCGCAGGCGGTGCAACTGCTGCCGCTGCGGGGCTTTGACGGGCACCTGCTGGCAAGGCCGTTGGGGGGGGGGGGGGCTTGGGGGTTCGGGCCGCCTTGATTTCTAAAGGGACTTTCCTTCGAAGACAAAGTGACAACAACCATGTTGAACGTTTCGGAGCAACCAGTCTGAGACCCGTGAAACTGTATGCTGATGACGGTTTTCTTAGGATGTGTTTTGACAAATCGGCATACATCCATGGACATCAGGAAATCACATGTTCCAATCCAAGTGCAGCCCACCAGCGTCAGTGGATTTCCATGCTGGTACAAGAGTTGTCTTCGATGCACGATGCGGGAACCATGAAGGTATCCTGCTCTTGAGGGAAAAGTGTGTGTGTGTGTGTGCGCGTGTGAGCACCAGCTTGGCAGGAAGCGTGTCTTGGTGTGCCTGGCTGATAAGAGAGGATGTCAGCCTTTTGAGCAGGGTAAGAAAGAGCCTTCTTCCCCCTCATCGTAAGGGCAATGGCAAAGGCAAGCAAGATGCTCGCAGTCGTGGCGGGTGTGGCGGCCTACTACGGCTGGCAGGGTGCATTTGTGCCGCCCCCTGCTGGCCGACATGTGCCGATCGCCACGGCGGCCGGTGCCGCGGCCATGCTGGGCACAGCGCCTGCTTACGCGGACAAGATCGATGATGCGGCCAAAGTTCTCTCAGAGAAGTCGTATCCCTTCTTGAAGGATCGCTGGGCATGATGGCTGAGTACGATGGGGATGTTTTTGTCTGTTGTGTTTCGGGCGCGTGTTGGACTTCTAGCTCTATTTCTTGTTCTGCAAACTGGTGCAACTGATCGTGCTGAGAGACTTGCCACTGATTTCCTTGGCCGCCAAACTGCATTGCATCCGAGTTTGTGTCCTGGAAAAGCATGATGAGTCATGAATGAGCAACGCAAGTCCAGGAGATCGACTGGACTGATGGCGTCTATGGCGTTCTGCCCACTGCCAAGCCCTTGGAAGTGTTGAAGGCGATCGATTCGATGTTGGTCATGGGCGCCGCGATGGACCCGGAGGCTCTGAAGGCCGGCGTGTTGGCGCACAGCAAGGCCATCAACTCTGTGGACTCCAAGGGAGTTACAACTCTTGCCGACTACACTGCCACCAACGCCGCCATTGGCCACATGATTGCGTCCGTGCCGGCCTCCAAGACCATGGACGTGTACAACGCCTTCAACGAGTTCAACCTGGGCAAGGATGTGGGCCCTTATATGATGTCCAAGGTGAACGCTGAGGACGCCAAGGCGGCCTACAAGGCATTCCTGGAGTTTAAGGATGTGGTAAAGGCTTCTCAGCGCTGAGCTAGGCCTTGCTCTTGGCATCTCTGGCAGCGGCGTTGTGTGTGAGCCTTGCAGTTTGTACAGCCTCTTGGTAACTTTGTACTCTGAGTCCGACCGGCTTGAGACCTCGCTAGGCGGATTTAGGCAATTCCAAACATTTTCTAAACAGCACTGAGCACTCTGCCAATTTGTATATGCAGGGCATTGAAGCGTGCTCTTGTGTAAAAGGATCGCCTCTTTCTGCGACAGGTCAAGTGTTGCTTACGTGAATGGCAGTTGCGTCATGCACTGATACCAGGGCAGGGCTTCGAGCTGAAGTTGTACGATGGTATGTCTTCTTTGGGGAAGCCTCCTTTGGTTTGGCTTTAGTTGGGTCTTGAAATAACACACCAAAAAGAAGGCACGCATGTCAGGAAGTTTGAGACAAACACTTCTGTTTCTTTATGGTTCTTTTGAACATCATCCTTTCAACACGCCAATTCAAAGTGGGCTCTTTTAGTCGTTTCCTGTTTGTTCCAAAAGGAAGAGGTACATGTCCTGTCTCCCGCAAAGGGCCCGACCCGGTATTGGGTTTCGCGTGGAAGCCCAGACGAAGCAATGAAAAAAGCTGTATGTTTGCCAGCTCACTTCTTCTTTCGCTTCAGGCCCGGGTTGGCAGCTCGTGTGAAAAAGCCAAAGAGGCTACATACGCGCCGTTAAGGTTCCCTTTTGGGTTTCTGGGACATGGCCATGTTCCAAAGCTCCGGGCACCCTTCAGGCAAATGAAGTGACACGGCGAGGTATTTGTTTGGCCCCCGCCCGCTGCAGCTGATAGAGCAGCCTGGCCGCAGCCGCGTCACCGACCATCCAACCTGCGCATTTCCATCGTTGGGCTTTCTTTGCCCCCCACGGGCTGTGTCTCAACGGAGCCACAATCAAAGGGCAGACAAGATTAGTAGGGCATACAACGATTAGTAGGGCACAGTCCCAACAACTTATGGACTCGGAAAGTCCCTCTTTGATTCTTTGCCATGGGTTTTGGCAAACTCCATCAACAATGTCGACCCGGTATCAAAGCTGGCGGATCCTTTTTCCGAGGAGTCCAATCACAGGGGCCTCCCTGAGTGGGGTTCTTTGCTTGAACCTTTTGTACCCTCCCTTGTGTTTTGGGGGCTTTGTTTCATTCCCCACCCGACAGGAAGGGGTTGTTAGATTTTATGTTGGAATCCGCGTTTGCGATGCTTCTACACCACGCCCCCACCCAGTATCCCGCCAGAGCAGCTCTCCAGTGGATCCCGCCAAGTATCCCGCCGCTCGCCAGTGGATCCCGCCAGGTATCCCGCCAGAGCTGCTCGCCAGTTGATCCCGCCGAGTATCCCGCCAGAGCGGCTCGCCAGTTGATCCCGCCGAGTATCCCGCCAGAGCGGCTCGCCAGTGGATCCCGCCGAGTATCCCGCCAGAGCAGCTTGCCAGTGGATCGCCGAGTATCCCGCCACCGCCAGAGCTGCTCCCCGGTGGATCCCGCCAAGTATCCCGCCGAGCGGCTCGCCAGCGGATCCCGCCAAGTATCCTGCCAGAGCGGCTCGCAGGTGGATCCCGCCGAGTATCCCGCCAGAGCGGTTCGCCACTGAATCCGCAGGTCCCGTCAGAGTGCCCGCCGAGTATCCCACCAGAGCAGCCCGCCAGTGGATCCCGCCGAGTATCCCGCTGAGTATCCCATAATACTTGCCTCGCCAGTGGATCCCGCCGAGTATCCCGCCAGAGGAGTGCGCCCGTGGCTCCCGCCGATTATCCCGCTGAGCGTCCCAGAGTAGCTCGCCAGTGGATCCCTGGCCAGTGGATCCTGCCGAGTATCCGGCCAGTATCGAGCCGGCGGATCCCGCCAGAATCCCGCCAGAGCAGCTCGCCAGTCTGGTTTTGCTTAATGTCCCGCCCAGCGCACAGCTGGGTTTACATTTCATGTTGGTGCGTTCGTGTTTTGAGTGTGCCCTGAGGCTCGGAAAGGGTGATGCTTTTGTGTTGCTTTGGGTTTTGAAAAAGCAACTTCGTTGAATCCCCCGTCGGGTTTCTTTTTGGAAGGGGCTCGGCTTTTGTTAACGGGACCGAGTTTGAGTTCTCGAGATCGGCTCGCAGACAAGTGGAGGTAGACACACAGACAGGTGGATAAGGCCCCAAGCCACTCAAAAACCATGCTTGAATTCACGCGACCGTGTTCGCGGTCGTAAGCTCGTGAGTGTGAGGGTGGGGATTGCTCGAAGCGGGGTAGTGCCAGCAGTTTTTCTTTGGACCTCAGCTTTTGATTGCGAGTCAAATCTCACCGCTTCAGCGCCACGCGCCGCTCCGCCTCGAGCGCCGAGGCTGTGCACGGGTGTGGTGGTGCTCTTGGGCGCCGTGGAGCGGCTGGGGCCCAACGCCAACAGCGCGGTGTGCTCCTCCGCCCTCTTCGCGTGGTTCGCCCGGTTCCTGGCGGCCAGGACGGGTGAGCTGTGGTTTATGTTGGGAAGCACTGGGTTTGTGGAAGCATCTGACAAAGCGCCGGACTGACAGTTGTGTATTGGGTCACGGGGTGGCCAAAGCATGCATCACCAATTGAAGATCCACCCCTCTACCGATATCCTTTTGCCCAGTTGCTTGGAGGTAGCGGTCGGTTTGTAAGTTGCTGGCATGTAGCCACGTGTCTTTTCAGGTGCAACTGCTGAGGGAAGTCTCTAGTGTAGTTCTGGTTGCAGCGAGAACATTGATGTTTGAGGGAATTGCCAGCGATGCAGAGTATTTTTTTTCTCCAGCACGCTTTTGCTGCCTGTCGCTCTTGGCTGCAGTTGACTCTGACTGCGGGCCATGCCAGGGCCGTGTGGCCTAATGGATAAGGCGTTGGTCTTCGGAACCAAAGTCACAGTTGCAGCGCCAAGCACAGGTTCTAACCCGAGAAAGGTGTGTTACACAAGCAAACATGCTTTCGCACCGGCGCTAAGTGTGAGGCAAGAGAAACTGGGGACCGCGTGGTTGCTGCGCATAGAATGCAGAGCCGAAGGGGGACGATCCCAATGAAGACGTTCGTTGCAAGGAATAGGCATTTTTGTCCCTTGCTCTGCTCAAATCATGAGAAGCCCTGTTTAGGCGGACCTTGTGAAGTGGAAGCTACTAGAATACCCACCGTTTGGAAGGGACAACATGTTTTCCGGTCACAGCACAATCGCAGGGAGGCTCCGATGCCGCCGCGGGAAGATTTCGATGATGAGCCAACTGCCGCGCCGGCCACAGCTGCTGCGGCTGCGCTGGCACTCTTTGCCGCGGGAGCAATTCTGATTCCCGGCTGCTTGATTGCAACCTTCCCTTTGCATGGATGGAACATGGTGTGAAGAGGGACACCTTGGTCATGGGTTTTGGAAGAACACTGGCATGACGATTTGGAAGGGCCCCTTGCCTCGCTTCAGTCCGTTTTTTTTCTCCATGAACGGGTGGGGAAGCTGAGGTAAGCTCGTGCCTTATGGCCTCATGGGCACATCTCTGTAAGTTCCGCCTGGCTGGACGCTCATGAAGCACAAGGGAGGCTTGCCAGACGCATTCAGTGGATTTCCTTCAAATCGCATGAGGGGGGGCACGTTGTTCCTGTATCTCATCATTTAACAGTTCAAGCCTTCACACATATTGGACAATGACACTGAGTACTAGTAGAAAACAGTGAATCTTCTTTGCTGGGGTCTAAGACCAACGTAGACATGTTGCGTCACTTGTTGTTTGCTTTCAATTCCAGGGAATCAACTGTTGCATACCTCTTGAGCAGGGCGAGCATTTTGCATCTGTATCGACTTTCGCGTTCTCCACTGCATCGATTTGACATATGGCCCAAGCGGGAGGATAGATGGGGCAATCCACGAACAAAGCCGAGCAGATGGCCCAGGAGATCTTAGGGGCTCTCACGTTTTCGACTTAGCACCTTCAGGATGCAGGCGAATCTCAAATCTTTTGGCTGAAGTTGGCCCCATGCCCTGGGGCAGCTTGAGCTCATTTGACCAACGAACACAGCAACATGCGTCGGTATGCGGCAGCTTCTTCATGGAGAGCGGACACATCTCAGAGGAGAACCTAGGTATCGCACATAATACCTGGATCCGGCCCATGGTGTGGGTGCGGGCTCTTCGACCTGTCAGGCTGGCCGGCCGACTCATCCCAAAAAAGACCTTTTTTATGGATGGTTTCAAGGGTGTTTGACAATTGTTCGACATCTTTCAAAGTGCTTTCATGACTTGTATCCACTGTTGCACCGACAGCATTTCGAGGTCCCTTCATCGCTGCAGGCGCATTGCTTGCGCAGCAGCACGAGGGGCCCTCAGCTTGTGCATTTGTGTGGAATGAAACCGTTTCCGATTTGTTTGGACAATTTAGCTGAACCTGTCACTAGAAGCAACAAGGTCATTCATCATCATCGAGTGTTCTAATCGGAGAATGCATTCGCGAGACCCTTTTCAAGCAGACAGGGCAGGTGTTGCAGGCAACAAGGCAGGTCAGCTCGGCTATCCCTGCAACGAGGCAGTAAACATCAATGCCCACCTGCATCAAGCAGGGTCTGCAGCCTAGCTTGCTTGGCAATACCGCAGCAAGCTGCGCTGTGCATCAAGTGGCATGTGCAGGCACCACTGGCAGGTAGACATCAGGGTACATATTGTTTCACTTGTGCAGGCTGCTAGGCTTTTCATTGATGTACGCAGGCGAGCGGCCGGGCATTCCTGTCTCTCGCGTTGGCAGCAGGTGGGCGTTGAGGAAGCCAACGAGACACACACACACAATAATTACAGCAGACACGATCACACGACATGCCTTTTGAACAAATGTTGTGATGATATGAGTGAGGTACATATACAAGACTATATAAGTATACATACGCACGTGGGCGTTTCATTTGGAACCTTCTAGAACCATCTTCTTGGTGGTTCCCGAATTCTGAGACCAAGCCATACTGATCGGAACCTGCTTGAGCTGTGATTGGCATGCTCTGCATGCATACGTGTCAAGAACTTGATGAGCAGGATGTTCGCTTCGTGTCTAGACCTTCCTCAGAATCCTGAGCCTCAGTTCCTTGGAAATGGCCAAGCAAGTCCCGGCAGTGTTTCAATTGAGCTAAGTAACGAAAGTAGACACAGCTCCAAAGGCTCCAAAGGAGACCACAGTGTAGACCATTAGTGGAACGACCACAGCACGCACTTGTTTATATCGTTTGAGCCAGTTGGACTACACTGCCATGGCAGGCGTGTCCGGCCATTTGCTGCGGAGCGGCGGCCATTTGCTGCTGGAGCGCGTCTTCTGCTGAAGCAAGCGAACAGGTAATTCAACGCAGCTTGCGAGGGTGACTTTGAAGATGTCACTGGAATGGGCCAAGCGGTTCTGGTGTTGTCTTTGTGTGATTCAGGGGGTACCCATTCAAAGGTTGTGTGGAAGAATTCAAAAGGAAACCACCCATCTGGGGGGCTCCCTCACAACACACCCTTGCGAGTTGGCGCTTGTTTGGTAGCATTTTTACAGAAATCAAAGGGACGCAAATAGACAATCGGGGTTCCAAATCCCATCTGCAGACAACCCATATATACCATGGTCAAACCACCTGGTTGCCACTAGGGATGGTGATGAATCTCCAATCCGTATTTTGGTTGGTATTAATTAAGAAGTGGACTGACGCTGACTTTACAGCGAGCTTGACCATACGCGATTTGCCAAGCGTGTATTGGTGGTGTTGCTTGTTGCCGTGGGCCAACATGTAAGAGTGCTTGCCTTTCAGATGGGCAAGCTGGTGTCCGATGTTATTTGTGTCATAACTTGGAGTCACCTTTGAGTCATTGAACCTGTTTTTGCTGGTCAGTTCAGACTGGAAGCTAGCTACTGATGGTTCAATCAGCAGGAATTATCAAGCCGTCTAGCAGCATTGATCCTTGATTCATCCTGCTATTCCTCCAAAAAGATAACCTGGTGCAAACAGGAGGAAGAGGATGACGAAGATTTCGCTGCAGAGAGCTTGGAGTGAGCCGCGGCCAGATATCAAAAAACAGCTTCTGAAGGTAGAAGGAAAGGAATGTCAACACTAGTTTTCTTTCTTGCCATCCGCAGCGTCATGTTCCACAGAATATATTTTGTCCTCAGGAGTCCAGGGTTCCATTTTTGAATCACTCAAAGATCACTTAAACCAAGAGGTTTCCTTCTGGGAAATCAGGGTCTGAGCCCATTTTGGTACAACATGGAGACTTACATGACTGCACGATATGTTTATTGTTCACGAACAGCACTGCCTTCATGTGTTACTCTTCCATGTGCGGTCAGGTTCACAAGTGGAATCTATGTCAGCCAGCAGCACGAGGGAGCGGCTCCCGCGTGTTCGCAGCGGTCCAAGAACACATGCTGCTCTAGTAGCTGCCCAGTTGTTCAGCGGCACCCGTTTTCCCGTTTGGTTTGGTGGGTTCCCTTTCTTCCTTGTAGTTCAGGCCACTGGACAACGAGGGAGGCGAGAAATGCTGCAGTAAGGATGGCTCCACGGACTGACCCGTTGAGCGTGTTTGATGCAACTTTTTGTGCGGGTAGATCGAACGCCGCATGTGCTAACTTATCTATTGTTTCCCTTTGCTGTCTGACTCGACAGAGACTTGCAGCATGCAGGTCTGGGGCAACCGGGCATGCTGGCCAGCCAGCGAGGCAGAGCACCACAATCAAAACGGAAAGTCAAGCTTGGAAGGGGACAGTCCCAGCCTGAAACCGGAGCGAAATTCTGCCTTGTTGAACCGCTCCGCTCTTGTGTCAACCCCGATCGCACCTGGTTTGGTTGCGACCACTGGAAGTTGGGCACACAAAAGCGTTGCACCTGGGTGTAAAGAGTCCAAATTCGTAAAAGAGGTCCCCAACCTTAGGAAACATAAGTGTCCCAAGGAGGGTATTCTGCAGATCATTGATTGAGCCACAATCAGAATCAGCGTTGTCCTCTCTTTTAACTATTGCCATTGGTTTGGGGAGACTCCTAAAAGCAAGGTTTTGATTGTGACTCAGTTGGCTATGACCTTTCAATATTGTTGGCTTCGATTGTGCCATTTCTGTCCAGTTCAATTGGCAGCGAAATCATGTGGACCGTTTGCCGGAGGACCAGCGCTCCCCTGACGCTTTGCGCACGCCAACGGAGGCGACTCCCAGCCTAGTGTGTTCCTCGTTTTTGTTTTGGTCAGGATGGCTCCAATCAGGTGAGTAAATTGAATCGTTGTTTTTTTTTCAGGGATGAGCAAGTGAGCAGGGAATGGCCATGGTCTTTGCTGCGTGATTCAGAGGGCGGAGACGGGAATGGCTATTTTGCCACGCATCGAGCCAATGAGCGAATAGGACTTCCTCTTGCTTTCTTGTTGGATCGATATTGTATTTCTATTTTACAGTCAGGACAAAGACGCTTGTCTACCAACCAATATATCGTTTGACCCAGTTCCTTTATTCGGATTGGGATATGTACACCACGACTTGGCAATTTCTTAAATGTGAGGAACGACCAAGAGAAGACAGTGCAGCCCTACAAGACATACCAGCCAAAATCGGGTGCCTTGCTGTTGTTCACGACTTTTCATCTTCCCACCGCTGTGTGGTTTGGCTGACCCATCCTGTCCTGCTCACCTTGCCTCTTCTGAAATGGGGTTCATTTTTTGTGGTGCCCCGCTTCTCCTCAACCCGTTTCGGAAGTTCGTTCAAACCGAAGCTTTCCAGTTCGGTGGGTGAGCGAAGCTCCCCTGTCAGACAGGTTCCTTGGTTTGAGCACTATGCGCTGGAGCCGGAACCTCAGGGATTGTTCTTTCCGCTGACTGGAAGACTCCACAAGTATTGATGCAAAGGGGAATTGAAAGGCACAGCGCTCGTTTTGGATATTTTGGAGAGCTCATAAAGAAAAACAAAAACTGACGGGCCTGGCGGAGAAACAATTCGCCTGGCATTTCTGGGAGGGCTTTCTGTTGTCGGAGAGAGGGGTTTGTGTGAAGTGAAGAAATATTGCATACCTGCTTCTGGCAATGCAGTTGCTACATGCGGGCAACGAAGCCCCGGAGTCTCGGGAGGTGACAATTGGTCTCAGAAACCTACAGAAGCTCCCTTAGTGAACAACCTTGGGAGAGCAGGCTTCAAAGGAAGGTCATTTGAACCTTGGTCGCACAGTCGCAGCACCTTTTCGCTTGTGGCTGGTATGGGAAGTCATCAACCCTAACAGAAACTTTAACAACCCTTCTAAGGATTCCGTGGTTAATGTCCTGAAAGTTGGAAATGTTTCCATATTCTTCCAGTGGTGTCACAGGGAGCCCATGTCACATGTGTGCAGCTTCCGAGCTCAGGAACAACTGCAAGTGGGAGCAGTTGAGCTTTGGCCCGAGCTTCGGGGTCTCACGCACGGACTCGGGGGAACCTTGGCTGCAGGCTCCCGCGAACCCGAGGTTCGCATCCGTACGCCTGAAGTCACGGTCACTCTGGAAAAACCAGCCACAGGAAAATGGATATAGAGGAAGTTAGCCAAATGTCATTCAAATAACAGGTGTCAAGTGATTTTCCTAGTCAACGCTCATTGCCACAGGTGGGTGTAAGGGGAAAAAACATGGTGTCAGCAGATATGAGAGGATGCCACCGGATGGACAAGCGCTTTAACATGCATCCCTTCCAGCAACCCTGCATTTGTAGGGATGGCCATCCACCCCTTTGATGTGCAAGCTTTTAGGCTGCAACTGTCAGGATTCCTTAGGGCACTGTTGCACAAGTGGCTTCAAGAATCAGGCCTTCGAACAATCCACCGAGTGGATGTTTAAGCTGCTGCGGCGAATCACCATGGAACCCCAAAATGGGTTCCACCACGGAGAGTCCTTCAAAGTTTTTTCACACGCATGATCAAGAACCCTTCGCAAGGGACAAGGGTTGTTTCAAGACTAGGCCAAATCAAGGGTTGATGCCCAGCCTTGCAGCCTGATGTGAAGAGGTGTTTTCACCATGCTTCACCAAACTTCATGAAGATGTCCTTTTCTTTGCTGAGTGTAACGCAAGTCGCTCCCCTCTCAGTCTAAGAGGGTTTCCAACCCCAAAACTGCTACCCCAAGGTAGAAAGGTGTTTTTTTCTAGCTTTTGTAGCGCGGGCATGTTGTGTACCCAATTTTCAAACCGGGGCTGGTGGTTAGGAAGCGGAAACCCTTTGAGACGAGTTCTGCCCAGGAGATCTTCCTGCCAGGCACTCAGCCAACCCTGCAGGGTCTGTCCCAAAAAGGATGAACCAACCAACATGATTTAGGTTTCTTTTTGGCTCCAGTTGAAAACCAACCAAAAAAGGGGTTCCCCGAGTTTTTCAAAGGGGACTGGGATCCCCCCAAAAAAAGAAAGGAGCCGACGTTGAAGACGTCGCCGTAGGCCAAAAGGTCTTGGTGCTCCTTTTCTTCATGCCTTTCTTTGCTCTGGCATGCGGGGCTCGTCCGATGCCGCATGCGAAAGTGTCGACTCCGTGTCATGTTTGCACACTTCTCCTGTCCATTTCCGCAATGTGTCCCAGCCTTTTCTTTTTCCGATCATGACCCGCCTGCTAAGGTGGGGCTCTGCAACAAAGAATGGCAAGGGTAGGCAGTGGGATGTCGAGCTGTGCCTCCCAAATAAATGGGATTCAGGCCATCCTCCTGGAATTCCATTTATGGTTCTGACAAAATACAACGAACTTACCGATTTGGGGGCCAAACCAGCTCACCCATGATGAAGGTCCTTTGCTGGGGGTTCCCCTATCCGGTTTGGGAAATATTGTAGTTTGGCCAGATGGTTGCATGTTCCTTTTTGCGGAAAGATTCGATGGGGAGCCTGGAGACAATCCAATCTCCAGATTCCAGTGCCATCACGCGAGCATGTCTCATTTGAAGAGAACGGATGAGTGTTTGGCTTTTTGGAGGATGCCCATTTCGGGGGAGGTTTAAAGAGAATTCATGGGCTCTGGCTCGAGCTCCTTCCAGAGGTGGAGCGGTTCACCACTGATCGCCGAGGGATCAAGCAATGGACGAGGTGATCACCAAGCACGGCACCGGCACCTTCAGCGTGGTCGCCAAGGTGGTTGCCCACGATGAGTTCGGTGGCTTCACCAAGATGGAGGGCCTCTCCCCGATCCAGCACTTCTTGGTGCGCTCCATCCTGGGCGAGATTGGTGAAATCTGGACTATGTACGACTACCAGACCTACGGCGAGGTGGACACCCTCCCCCTTGTTGAGCCTTCGCCGGAGGGAGTTGCTCTCCCCCATCCACAACATGATCATGACCTTCTCACTGGCTGGGACTTCTGCGCGGGCATCGGAGCTTTGGGTTGGGGAGCTAACTTCGCAGGAGTCTCCCTCGCAGGACATGTGGATGAAGGCCGGCTAGCCTGCATAGCCACACGGCTCAATAGCAACGCTCCCATCATCCAAGGGGACATCAAGAACATCAAGACCACCAAGCAGGTGCATCAGCACTCCAAGTGAACCAAGCCACTCATAATGGCTGGGTTCCCATGCCAACCCTTCTCAAGACAAGGCCTTCAGCTCGGAGAGAAGGACCCACGGTTCCAGACCCTTCCCGCACTCCTACGCTCTGCCTGGCTGCTAGGAGCCTCAGGACTCCTCATGGAATGCGTGCCTGAGGTCAAGAGCTCACAGCCTGCTATGGATCACATCCGCCGCTTTGCAGAAGCAAAGGATCTGATCATGCAGGACACCATCCTGGAGCTTGCAGATAGGTGGCTATGCAGGAGGAAACGTTGGTGGGCCTTGCTCACCCCCAGATCGCTGCCAACACCCACACTACAGACTTGGCCCAAATCCGAAGTGGACTACTACCCGCACAACCTCATCTCCGAATGGCCAATCTGGCCCATCAAGGAAGAACAGCAACTGAAGTGGTCCGAGCAGGAGCGCAACTACTACGACGACCCCACCTATGGCCAAGACCTCAGACAGATCGACCTCATGAAAAAGATCCCAACAGCGGTCCACTCGTGGGGATCTGCATTGTCCGCTTGTCCCTGCGGTTGTCGGCAACAAGGCTTCTCCGAGAGATGGCTACGACAGGGCGGACTTCGCGGATTTGCGGTGCACTCCAAGCACCTAGGAGCAAGACGCTTCCCACACCCTGGAGAAGTCGCCTTTTGGAATACGATCCCGGCATCCTTCAGACAACTCAAAACAGCACGGGCCGCTCTGGCGATGCTAGGACAGATGGCAGCACCAATGCAAAGTGCCTGGGTCACAGCACACCTGGCCTCGGCAGTGTTCGCCTCTCAGGGACGCCAAGCACACACACCTCTTCAAGTTGTCTCCCTTTGGCACGAACGCCTCCTTCGAGAAGCTGCTGATCTCTGGGTACTACCTTCGATGTACATCCCACGCTCCATCACCCTGGAAATTGAGGACGTGATCCATCAAGTTCAAGTGCAACACCCAACCACAGCTTATGAACTCGTTCGGGCCGAATCAGACCTCGCTGGATGGGGGCACCGCGTCAAGCTCTATGAGGGGCAACGTGAACTCCATGGACTCACACTTCTCCACCACAACCGCAAGTACCACGTGGAACTCTCCACCAAGCGACAACGAGTGGCGCTCCAGCAGAACCAGTGCGAGGTATACCTGCATGAACCCGGACAACTCCAGCACATCAGAGTGCCACAGGGAACCTTCATTATGCACGTCTTGACCTGGCTTGGGGCCACTACGGCCAGACACGAAGGCAGAGCACTCCCACCAGGCTCTCGCATTTGGACCTGCCTCGCCCTGGAAATCTCCGGTGCAGGATACCAAGGCCAGAAATGCAGCGACGAATCCATCTATGGCACCCTCCAAGCACTCCTCAAGCTCTCCAACAACCTGGGCAACACACCCTGGACAGCACTCTCGCCAAGAGAGGCAAAGATACTCGAGGTCGCACCAACGGAGCTGCTCACCCAGGCAGACACCTTCAGGCAGACGCTCAATTTCACCGAGAAGTTGATCCTTGTCTTCGAGGACGAAGGACACTGGGCCGTTCTCCAGGTCACACTTGAGGAAAACGGCTTGAAGGGCAAGGTTTACAATGGCTATCCGCAAATCCCACAGGCCACCTACACTCTGATGAACCAGATCGGCATCCTTTAGGGACACCAAGTTCGGCATCTCCACCTTCACTCCTGGTTCCAGCAAAAAGGAGACAACGAATGTGGGGCCATCGCGATACAGCATGTCTGCCACATCCTGGACCTCTGGAACAACTTCACGGATGAGGACAAGAGCTTGGCACGCACACCTGCTCTCCCTGGACACCTCAATCCATGCCTGGAGGGCAGCCGGCCCCAACCCGGACAAACTCACCAGTGACCTCATCGCGGTTCTGCAGCAACAGGGAGCACCTGCCAACGCAGTTGAACAAAGGGCCTCCGCCGCCATCAAGCAGATCGGCAGAAAGGAGCTCCTCCAAGCTCTTCAGCAGGGGTGTCTGGCAATCGCTCAAGTCGCTAGCGAACCAATCCAAGTTTCGATTCCGCTGGGTGCTCCCGGAGGAACTGAACGTTCAGGTACAGAAACGAGCTGCTGATCGCTGTGGAGCTTCGAAGCCAAGCAGAGCCGGCAAAAGCGCCAGAGAGCAGAAAGTCCGTGCTCCACCGGTTGTCGAGGTTGACCCCAACAGCGTCATCCTCAAGGAGGGCCTTCGTCGATGAGGACTCCAACCCGATCCCACAACTCAAGATTGGATCCATCGCGGCAAATGCCAGAAGCATCGCGATTGCAACGGCCAAGGACCTCGTTCCCTTCCTCAAGGAAAACAAGAACATCAGCCCAGATGCCCTCGCACTGCTCACCACACAAGTGCTGCCGGATGAGCTACGAGGCACACACCCCACGGTGGACATCCAGTACCCGGCCATCTTCCAAGAAACCGAGGAAGCCATCCTGCTCAGAGGCACCCTTGTCAACATCGGGGACGTCTCCATCAGCAAGAAGGTCTCCATCCTGAAAAACGAGGTCGAGGCCGTCGAGACAGCCATCATCAAGCTCAGCGCCTTCAAGGATGAGCTCGGAACCCACTGGGATCGAGGACTTCACCACCACACCAGCACGTGCTTTCATCAAGGGCCTAGATCCGCTCAACATTTGCCGCACCACGAAATGCTCAGGCAACTGCCAAAAGTACCACCCTACTCTGTGTCGAGGAGGACATAGTCAAGGTCGTCCAGGACTTTTGGGGCAGATCATACTACAAAACCGTGGGCGGCAAGGTTGAACCCTCCAACGCCGAGCTCGTCCAAGCCTATGCAAGAGTGCCCAAACTTGCCCTACTCCCCCTCTGTAAGGAGTCGGGCCAGAACGGCATCTACGTCGAGCCGAGATCAGAGGACAGCCTCGGACCAAGCAAGGCCTTCGCCATCATTTGGCTCCCTGGACAATCGCTGGCGGACGCAAAGCATCACTTGGCAATGCAGCCAAAAGCAATCGGGCTGGCCAGGCTAGGCAACAAATGGGGGCTTCGCACCGCGGTCGATGATGAGGCTGCCCTCTTCCAGGTTGTCCGACCGGGGCACACCTTCATCCAGATCAACTTCATCTTCAAGATTTACCCTCTCCCCTTCGGCATCCAAAGGGCCGGCGTACAACAACTTCTGCAACAGTGGAAGTGGGACTCAAAGCCACTGCAACCAACAAGGGGAAGCCCAGCGGGCAGTGCATGGGAGATCGGCGCGGAGAAAAACCCTCCCAGCTTCACTATGCCCGGCCCCTCTGGAGACGTGCTGATCGTCCTGGTCAGGCAGGTTGGACGCAAAGCCGAAGAAGGACCTCAAGCCATCATCCCCATCAAGACCCGCAGATTCCTCCAAGGAGGTCGCCGAGCCGGGCCAGCCAACCAAAGCGAACAACCAGGCCACGATCCGTGGCAAAATGGAAAAGACCCCTGGGCAAGCTGGTTCACCAACTCTGAGAACGGCACCTCGCATGCTGCCCCGGGATCAACGGTCAAGAAACTGGATGAGTTGGAACACCAACTCACCAATCAGGTCAAAGAAGCAGTCCAACGAGAAATTGCAAAACAGCCCGACATGGATGTGGACATGCGCAACAGCAGAGTCGACAGGCTAGAGACCTCAATCTCGGAGCTCACCTCGCAGCAGCAGCGCTTTGAGGAATGGTTCCAACATGCCGGCCAACATCACAACGAGCTCCAAGGACAGGTGTCATCTCTTTGCCTCACTGTTGAACAGCAGCAGGCGGACATCTCCCAAATCAAACAGGAGGTCCACGAGCAGCCCACTGCCATCCACCATGCGGTCAGCAACGCCATGCAATCGGTGCAGGCAAACCTTCAGACACAACTCAGCTCGCAGTTCCAAATGCTGCAGGACTCCTTGGCCGCCTTATGCAGAGCACGCGGACAAGAAGCATCGTGGAGAATGACTAGGTCAACGTGGGCCCTCCCCTCGACCAAGGAGGGCGCCACCATGGCTATGCGGTCGATTTTGGACCTGCACACAGCTCCTACTCCTCTTCTGCACTCACACCACACAGGCGGCAAACACTCCGGAACCTCCCCATGCCCGGCACTCCGTTCTCAGCGCAGCGCCCCCTGAGGGCGACTGCGA